TGCTGCTTGTGCTGCCGCTGCACGTTCCTCTTGCTGCTGCTGCTGCTGCTGCTGAATCATGGCTTGCTGATGCTGCTGCTGCTGCAGCTGCGAAGGCAGCTCTTGCTGCATCGTGTGGTGCAGCTGCTCCTGTGGGCATTGCGGCTGTTGGGGCTGGTGGCGCGGCGGTGGCTGATGCTGTTGGTGCAGCGGTGGCTGCGGTGGCTGTTGGTGCTGCTGCTGTGGGGGCTGTAGTTGTTGTGGTTGCTGCTGCTGTGGGGGCTGTAGTTGTTGTGGTTGCGGTTGCTGTGGGGGCTGTAGTTGTTGTGGTTGCCATTGCTGTTGGTGCTGCTGCTGTGGGGGCTGTAGTTGTTGTGGTTGCTGTTGGTTCTGCTGCTGTGGGGGCTGTAGTTGTTGCGGTTGCTGTTGGCGCTGCTGCTGTGGGGGCTGTAGTTGTTGCGGTTGCTGCTGTGGGGGCTGTAGTTGTTGCGGTTGCTGTTGGTGCTGCGGATTGTGTTGCGTTTGCTGCGCCACTGCAGTTGGTTGCTGATGGCGCCATGGTGGCGACGGCAGCGGCGGTGGAAATGCTGGCTGTTCCTGCTGGGGCTGCTGATGCAGTTGCGGCTGCTCAGCTGCTGAGGCTCCTGCTGGCTGTTGTTGCGGCTGCTGCATGTGTTGCTGCAGCTGCTGCTGCAGCTGCTGCTGCTCTTGCTGCAAAACCTGAACGGTGCTCGTCAGGAATTGCAGCACGCCATACATGGCGTCCAGCGTGTTGAAAAGCCGCCCCCATTGGCGAGCCTCATACGACGGCGGCCGATACTCGCCGCCTTGCTTTGGCGGCATTGCCCCACCCCGCGCCGAGAAGATAAACAGTAAACAATGCAGTGTAGCGCAGTGCAATGCAATGCAATGTATTGTGTGTGTGTAATGCAGTATGTATTTATGTATGTCTATGTATGTATGTATGTATTATATGTAATGCAATGTAACGTATTGCAATGCCATGCAATGCAACGCAATGTAATGTATTGCATGTATGTTATAATGTCATGCACTGTAATGCAATGTAATGTAATGTAAAGTAATGTGTGAGTCTAACGTAATGTAATGTAATGTAATGTAATGTAATGTAATGTAATGTAATGTAATGTAATGTAATGTATGGATGATGGATGTATGTATGCAGGTATGTAGGTATGTTTGTTTGTTGGTTGGTTGGTTGGCAGGCAGTTAGCGCATGTGGATGAAGTCTCTTTCTGCGTGCATCTCATGGTTTGTGATGGACTTTTGTGTCTGCCACAAGTTTGTGTCCGCCTGCGCCTCCCTTGAGCCACATCACGCAACATTGATGAAGCCGCTAGGCAAAAGCTGGCAAGTGCTGGCGAAGCTGCTGCGCAGCAGCTGGTGCTTCTGTTGAAACTGCTGAGCAGCAGCTGGTGCTTCTGTTGAAAACTGCTGAGCAGCAGCTGGCTGGTGCTTCTGTTGAAACTGCTGAGCAGCAGCTGGCTCTTGCTGATGAAACTGCTGAGCAGCAGCTGGTGTTTGTGTTGAAGTTGAAACTGCTGATCAGCAGCTGGTGCTTCTGTTGAAACTGCTGAGCAGCAGCTGGTGCTTGTGTTGAAACTGCTGAGCAGCAGCTGGCTGCTGGAGCAGCAGCTGAGCTGCAGCTGGTGGAGCTGCTGATTGTGTGGTGAAGTTGAAACTGCTGAGCAGCAGCTGGTTCGTGCTGATGAAACTGCTGATCAGCAGCTGGTGCTTCTGTTGAAACTGCTGAGCAGCAGCTGGTGCTTCTGTTGAAACTGCTGAGCAGCAGCTGGCTCTTGCTGATGAAACTGCTGAGCAGCAGCTGGTGTTTGTGTTGAAGTTGAAACTGCTGAGCAGCAGCTGGTTCGTGCTGATGAAACTGTTGATGTGCTTCTCATGAAACTGCTGGGCAGCAGTTGGTTCTGCTGAGCAGCGGGGGGTGAAGCTGCCTACCAGCAGCTGGTGCGTGCTGATGAAACTGCTGGGCAGCAGTGATGTTTTTTTGGTGAAACTGCTGAGCAGCAGTTGGTTCCGCTGAGCAGCAGCGTGTGAAACTGCTGAGCAGCAGTTGGTGCGTGCTAATGAGCAGCAGTTGGATCCGCTGAGCTGCGCGAAACAAAACAAACTGCTGAGCAGCAGTGGGTGGTTGATGGGATTGATTGTCTGACCAGATTTCAACCAAGGTTCCGCCGGCGGCAGCGCGCAGCAGCGGCCAGCAGCCGGCAGGCAGCTGCAGCTGCGAGCCTGCCGGAAAGGCACGGGTGCGTTTTTTAGTCTGAGACTTGCTTGAACCTTCACCCCGGCTGCTCGTAACCCTGGCTCGCAATCATTATGCTGCTGGCCAGCAGCTCAGGATTTATATTTGTGGCCGGGCTGCTGGTCAGCAGCTGATCCCTGCGTCTCGAAACCTTAAGTTTACAAGACAAAGGGGGGTTGTTTGTGAGACAGCCAGTCTGGATTCTCAAAACGACTTGTAACAAGCCAGCCTGCGCTGCAGTCTGTCATGGGTTCGAGGCTGCAAAAGACCAATCCTGCTACAGTCGTGGGCGAGAGAATCATGGCAAAAACAAAAGCTGCCGTGTATGCAAGAGTGAGCTCTAAGACCAACAAGGATAGTGCCAGCGTGAGCCGGCAGAAGGAAGCATGTCGCAACGCGTGCAAAGCCAAAAAATGGCAGCTGGCCTGCTCCGCAGCAGAGGTGATCTCTGGCAGCCTGCCGGCAGACAAGCGTGAGGAGTTCAAGAACCTGATCCTGAAGTGTAAGGCCAAGGGGATCAATAAGGTGGTGATTGAGAATGGCCGTGCTTTGGCGCGCAGCGCTGTGGCTGCTGAAAGCTTGTATGACTTCAGCAAAAAACAAGGGGTGACCATTGTCGCATCAGATCTTCCTGATTTGTTCAGCCACGAAGAAAACCCAGCTTCGCGCTTCTTGCGCCGGATAATCTGTGCATACAATGAGCTGGAGAAAGACATGACAGTGTCCAGGTTACAACATGGCTTGGCAAACAAGAAGAAGAAAGCCCGCGCAGCTCTTCGGAATGGTGACAAGAGTGTGAAGCTATCTCAGAAAGGCGTTGTCAAGGTCAACGGGAGCAAAAGCATCCTTGAAACCGTGCAGTCCAAGAAGTGCATTACTCAGCTGAAGAACATTTGCAAGCAGCATGAACATGGCAAAATTAGTTGCCGCCATATGGCAACTGAGTTGTCTCAAAAGCTTGGCCTGAAATCACCGATGGCCCATGAAACAGCGAGGCGCATGTGCACAGCCCTTTTGAAGTTTCACTGACACGCTGTGAGTGATGTTGCTGAACTGGCTGGCTTAACGCACCCAAAATCACATGTTCACTTCTGTATGGGGTTGTGATTGCCCAAGCCAAGTTTTAAACTCCATCCCGAATTACATTAAGCCAGCAGACTTCAGCAAGGAGTCAATGACCCTCTGCACCAAAGGAATTGGAACTGCGTTGCCGGCTATTCCGCCCAGGGCAGCAGCTGAAACGACCCCGTGCGGAAAATCCGACTGTGACACACCCATAAGGGCCAACACTTCATTCCTTGTCATCCAACGTGACTCTTTTGTCAGCCAATGCCCTTTGGACGCTGCACGGTTTTTGAAATGAGCCTGCCGCTTCTGACTGCATGATATGTCCACAACGTACTGGTTCTTGAAAGGGTCGTCTCCCTGGTTGATGATCCTTGTAAGTGCCGTTTTCACATGGTTGTAGTACCCTGGAGCCAAACTGTTCAAGGCAACTTCGGGCTGTTTCTTTTCCAAGAAGTCGTTCAGCGGGCGCATGGGGATGGGGTCTGGCCATTTCATGTCTGATTTCTGCGACTTGGCCACGACGCCGGCAATGAAGACCCGGACGCGATGGTGCGGCAAGCCGCTGTATTGGCTGGTGTCCAACGCTTTCCAGGACACGTTGTACCTGGCACTCGACGACAAGGACGGCATGATATGGGCATGTGACGGTTGAAATTAACAATGCTTGACAAGTAAAAGGGCTGACAAAAGTACTCATGAGAAATTAGTCAATCCACAGCCGCTGGCCAGCTGCATCTTTCATTTCCATAATGACCTCCAAGATCAGCACTAGGATGGGCTTGTGGTTTCTGAGCAGCCCCTCAACATTCTCCAGCAAAAAACACTTTGGCTTGGCGCGGTAGATGTAGTGAAGAACGTAGAAAACTACGATGCCCCGCAAGTCGGCAATGCCTTTGCCCAACCCGGCAGTACTAAAGCTTTGGCAAGGAAAGCCGCTGAAGAAAAAGTCGACTGTCGGGGCTCGCAAGAAGCTCTCATCCATCACATTGTCAAACCATTTGTGGTGCTGGTACGTACGGGTGCTCAAAGCCTTGGCTTTACGGCAGATGTCGCACGCGAAGCAGCACGTGTGGCGGACTCCGAGCCGCGTCAAGGCGATGAGTTCGCTGCACCAGCCACGGCATGCGCTGGCAACAGTAATGCCGCTATGTTTGTGCTCGCACGTCTCGATGACCATGTTGAGGCTCCATGCTGCAATCATCTGCAAGATGGCAGCAGCAGCGTTTTGTGAGGGGACAGCCTTCGGAGGACGACGAGCAGGTGTTTGGCTGGAAGCTGCAGTCGCAGGCCGCTTCAACACCGCCTTCTGCACCTTCTGAACCTTCTGAACCTTCCGGCGAAGCCAGCATCGTTGTCGTCAATGTCATCCATGTCAGCTGAAAACCCAGCCATTGCTGGAGTCAGCTCTAACTCTTGAACATCAATTGGCTGTGGTGAGCGACTGCTGGTCAGCAGACAAGCCAGTGAGTTCGTCAGTTTAAAGTCTCAGCAGGCCAAGCGTGCCTTTTCAATGCGATCGATGGGTTTCTCGCCGACTTTCAAGTTCTTCACCATTGCATGGCCCAGCCGCCTTCCCAAGAAACACCGCAATGCTCTTGTCAAGTATTTGCAACTGAACGTGGCAAGGCCATGAATGACTACAGGCCAAAATGTCGCTTGCCCTGTTGGCAATTCATCCTTGCAACTTTGCAAGAAGCGCAGCCCGTGCCGCCTCAGCAGTGCTACTGTTACCAGTGTTCTGCTTCTTGGCTGGAGCCTTCTGCTTGGTGTCGTCATCGCCGCCATCACCGCCCGCTTTCTCTTTCTCAGTCTCTGCATCATCGACCGCAACCGTCGCCTTGCGCTTGGCTCGTGGGGCCTTCTTAACCTCCTTGATCTTCTCTGCGTTCAGCAAAGATGTCCTTAGTAGTTTCCACGTGACGTGCGTAGTTGCAACAAACAGTAAACACACTTGTGCGCCAAGTTTGTTGCCAGGGGGCAGCCCCACCTCATACAGCTCTGGGATATCGTCATTCTGGAAGGCGTCCCACAAGCTTTTCAGCACCTTCGCCTTCAGCAGGTCTGCGTGCTGCGAGGTAAAGCACACGCTGATGATAGGAACCTTGCGCTTGATGCACTCCATGATGAGCAAGTGGTCAACATCAGGAGCTCGGAAGACGCATGCGGGCTTGAAGCTGTGCAGCACCTCAGCCAGGAAGACTGGGTTGCTGAAGTGCCAGGTGGCCGGTTCAAGCCCCTCAGGAAGTGCGGGCTTTGGCTCGTTGACCGGGCCTGAGCGCATCGCGGATTTGGACGACATGATCTCCATATCTTAGAGGTAGCGTGAAGATATTCAAAGTATTTACTGCAAACTGCGTCCAAGCATCAGGGGCCACCGGTGAGCACCCTACCCTTGTCCCCATACAAGCCTTTCTTGTCGGCAGGGCTCATTCGCCAACAAGCTTTGTCGGTGTAAGGCAGCGCGCGAACTGGACCGATGTGGGTGCCGTGATTCGTCCCGCTGTAGTGCTTCCGCGCAACCTTCTCAATCTCTAACCCCTCAAGGGTGTAGCACATCATGGACTCGGTTTGGTTCACGAACCCGCGAACTTTTTCGCGCCTGTCGACGAGGCTTTCTTCGTCGTAGCAGATTGTGAAGCACTGTCTGCATTTGTTCATCGAGCGGCCCGTCGAGTCAACAAAGGCTTGTGACACCGACGTGTCGTTGCCACTCCGCCCTCCATCCATGTAGATGACGAGGTCCGTCTTCTTCAAATCCCCCTCCTGGGCATTCTCCTGGTCGCCAGGTCCCCGCACTGCCGTGAATGCTTGCAGCATGCGGCGGAAATGCCTCTGCTGGAAGGGTGGCAAACGAATGTTCGGATTCGATGACGCCTCTCCAGCAACCTTCGAGTCGTAGAGCAGCATGCATGGCCCGCTCACCTTTTTCAGCACAGTGGGCTCCAGGACCTTGATCAAGTCATCTTTGCTGTCCTTGCCATGTCAAGTACTACTGACTCAGTCTGACACTGACTGAATTGGCAGCTGATCAGCTGCAAGAAAAGGCAGCTGTTCAGCTGCAAGAAAAGGCAGCTGATCAGCTGCAACTATTAAGCCAAGATGCATGATCCACCACCAAAGTGCAGAATGACTCAAACTTGTTGAGCAGAAAGGTCAGCCAGTCGTCCAGCTTGCCTTCGTCATCGACAGTCTCCAGCTGCTGCGCCGTGCACAAGTCCTTCAACGTCAAGGATTTGCCCTGATTGACGTCCTCATGGGCGCTTCCCGGCTCTTTGGAAGATGTGGCCATGGGATGGCCAGTGGACTCCTCCTTGTTCGTGATGCTGACTTCCTCGATCGCTTCCGACAGGAACTTCACCTGGCTGATCACCTCTGCGACCTCGCAGCTACCCTTCAGCGCCGTCTTCAACGCGCCATCGTTCGTCACGCCAAACACAAAGTTCTCCAGGATGCTCACCATCTTTCGCGTGCTCTCGCGCACCGTGCCCAGGATGGACTTTTCATTCCGCCTGACCAGCTGTCCACCGGTTCTCAGAATAATCAATAAACTAGGTTGCTCACTGAAGTTCTGCCGAGACGCGTGAGATCCCGGAACCCCTTGTGCGTGCGCAGCCTGGCCATCATGGCAGTGTCAGCCTCTGGCAGCTGCAACTTGCCGAGGAAGGGGCCCAGGAAGTAGTCCTTCAGATCCATCTTCAGGACCCACAAGTCCACCAGCCCCTTCTGCCGAGGTGCTCCACCCTGCAGTTCAGCACATTCGCTGGCCAAAAAAAAGACAGCAAAGATCAGAACGAAAGTAAGTTGGAGTCAGGGAGCCAGCGAGCGACCTTTGAATTCGTTCGGCGAGCAATCGAGGTAAATCATGAGGTCATCCATCGTCGCCAGAGCCCAAGCGATCTGGTCCGGGTTCTTGGTCTTCTCAAGGATCTTGGCAAGGGTCCACATTTGCGAAGTGGGCGACGCCTTGCCGAGCCTGTTGTCCATCACGAACACCATGTCCCGCAAATTCGGCACCGAGAGGACCCTGTCATACACCCGGATCGCCGTTTGAACGAAGTTCAAAGTGACGTTCTCCGCAAGGGCCGACTTGGACTCCGACACCTGCTGCGACCATGCTTCGTACAGCTCCTCTGCTGTCATCTTCTTCGCCGCTGACTCCTGGGCGGCCTTGTAGGTCATGAGCTCGTAAGTTCTTTGGCTTGCTGTTCGGACAAGAGCATCATAGTCATCGATGATCTTGTTGCGGAGGTTGACCTGCGATGTCGGCAGCGCACCAGGCGCTAGGCTAAGCTACTACTACTTCTTAGGCTGTATTTTACTTCAGACTGACAGTCCCACACAGTAAACATCTTTGCTGGCAGTCAGGGCGCCCCTCTGAAGAACATTTTCTCTGGCGTGTCGATGACCTCAAACACGAAAGTTGCCGTCAGAGCGACCGTCTTCCACTCCCTTGGCAGCGGCGGTCACGTGCAGCGGCAATATTGTGTAAAACATTTTTTGGGGACCATTGGAGACAAGTTTCAGCAGAACATGCTCAGGTTCTTCGCGCTCAATGGCGGCTGCCAGCGCAAACAGGTAGGCGTGCTCCACCTCTTCCGGGCTCACGCGGCGCAAGTTCCCACGGCTGAGCTCCAAGTTCGCGCCCACCGCAACAATGATCGGCTTGTCGAACCTGGTCAGGGAAGGCGTTTAAGAAAACTATGTTAATGATGGGATTCAATAGCCTCTGCCTCTTGGGCCCTTTGCAGAACATGCTGTGCTGCAAGTTGGTCACAGCTTGGCGGGAAATCGGCACTCGAGGGGCGCAAGTCCACCGCAAGTTCAGCCAAAAGAGGTTGCACGCGCTGTCGTACTGGCCGGCAGTCTGCATTGCAGCTTCATAGGCTTGCTGCACAAACACTGCCTGGAATCGGATGTGCGGAAAAGGGTCACGCACACCCCCCCGGCTGTTGAGAGCCTAGGGGTGGACCACCCTAAGCTCTCAACAGCCGGGAGCGCTCCCGGCTGTTGAGAGGGGGGTCTATCGACCGCACGGCGGGTGTTGAGAGCTTAGGGTGTTCCACCCCTAGGCTCTCAACACCCGCCGTGCGGTCGATAGACCCCCCTCTCAACAGCCGGGAGCGCTCCCAGCTGTTGAGAGCTTAGGGTGGTCCACCCCTAGGCTCTCAACAGCCCCCTTGTTTTTGAGTACCACACTTTCGGGAATACGCCGGGAATATACACCAAGCTAAAAAAGGCACACGATTTCAGCCAAAACTTTTGAAAACCTGGCCTTGTGGCCAGCCGAGTGGGATGCCGCGTTCTGATTGATGCCGATGGGCTCCTCATGCATGATGTTGCTGAAGAGCGGGTGCTCCATGATGCGCTGCAAAGCAATTTCCAGCTGCGCATAGTGCGCCCGATTCACATCAGCCACCTCGCCAGGACCAGGATCCGCGGCGGCTGGCGCATCGTCGGCAGCGGGCACCGCGGCAGCCGCTGCCTTTGCCTTCGCCTTGTTCTTCGGCTGCTTCTTCGGCGACATGGCTGCCAAGAAGCGTGGTGCGGGGCCCGCTCGCTTAGAGCAATCTCAGCATCAGCGAGAATCACATTGATTTGCCACTGTTCAGTGGTTGAAGTTGCTGGCCAGCAATCACAGTCAGCTCAAGCTGCTGCTCAGCAGCATCATTTTCATGCAAACTTTGTTGCTGCTCAGCAACAGTCTGAACAAGCACTACGCAGCCAACATCATGTTCATGCCAACTTCATTCAGTTGCTGTTCAGCAACTACAAGTTCAAACAGTCGCATGAACCCGTCAGTCGTTTCAAGAGCTTGTTACTACTGCTGTGTCCGCCTCACTGCATCGCATCGAAGAGGCTTTATGCCTATAAACTTGAACTTGTGTCCCGAAAAGTGGTTTGTGACATTGTGTGCCAACACTTGTTTTCGTTTCAGCACCCACGCCTGCAACATGTGGTATTGCCCTCGGGGTCAAATGGTTTGCAGATGACACATTTACACTGATTATTATTATCCACCGGGTTCTGCAGGATGTTTGTTGTAAGCTACGTGCCAAACAAACAGGTTGATTGACAAAGTTGAACCTTTGGCGTACTTGTGACATTGGCTATGTTGCATATCTCCAATTTATTAAAATGGCAGGCTGTTGCATCTTGTTGGAGCTCTTGTTTGGCTTGTGTTGCTTTTCAGGTCAACTAAGCAAAAGGATATCCTTGGTTGCTCAGTGTTGCTCACTGATCAGTGGCTAATTGAAGATTTCAAAGCCACTTCATCCCCTGCAAACGCGTCTTGTTTTCGCCACTCCCCTGAGTAAGTACAAGCAATGCTTGCGACAACCAAGGCCACATCCGCAGTCCTCAGAACAACTAAAAACCAACATGGGTGACAGTATGAATTGTAGCACCAGCTGGTTCAATGCCACTGACTGAGGCCGCGTGGCAAGCTCAAGGCGGAGGTTGGGCGTTTGCCCGGGCCACATTGAGGCAGGACCCCGTGCACCGCCGATGAGTTGGAAGGGGTTCACAAGCCACACATCCCCCTTTTGGCGATGCACATTTTGCAAACGAATTTGAGAAACCCATTCTTTTCAAATATGTTGGCTTCATTTGCCCGTGCAGCTTCTGCGTCAGAAGCAATTGCGACGACTGTGAAACGCCGAGCTGCAGGAGTCGCAACGTGCAAGTCCGCAAGCTGTTCCCAGCTTTCAATCGCCTTCCACTTGCACCCAGCATGTTGCATTGCGTTCTTGAAAACTCTAGCAATGGCAGGCTTCTCACGCTCAAACGCCGGGCTGACAAACACCTTGCGCAAAACGTGGATGGCAGGTTCAAAGTGCAGCGCGATGCCCTTTTCCCCCTTGCTGTCAAAGTACTGCTTGTTGGCCAGCATGCCACCCAAAAGAGTTGCAGCAACGAACACCTCCTCCTGCGGGTTCGCTGGGTCCTCCACCACGAAGCCTTCCGCATCCCACACAAAGCGTCGCGCTCTGTCACGCGCAGCCCCATGCACGTCTTGAAGCCAGCTGCTGTCCTCGAGGTAGAACGGCCTGGCTGCAACGTCAACCTTCTTGGGCAGCAGCAAGTTGGCACTCCGAGCTTCCTTCCTTGGCAGTGTCTTGATGATTTCGTCGAAGCAGCATGGACAAACAACGCGATTTCAAGTGAATCTCCAGCTGCAAAATAAAATAACACAACTCTGCTTTAACGAGCGCTTAGTGACCGTGTTCGCTGCTCATCGGTTTTCGCTACGTGTTGCCGAACGGCCAGTGCCACATCAACGAGGTCCGGCTCAACCTCGTCCTCTAACAGCGCGTTCTCAAGGTAGCTCTGCACGCGGCTTTCATATTGTTTTGTTTTCTGAAAGGTCAGCTCGTTCGCCATCGACTCTGACCAGATTCCTGACGATCCCCTGGCAGCAGTTGACTCAACCGTCGCAATGTCCACTGGTGCTGCCGCCTTGCTGTCAATCCTGCGGCCCTTTCGAACATCGTTGACCGTCAAAGTGCAGCCTGTCTGCTTGCGCTTTATGCCTTTGTCAAGCCTTGTCATGCAGCTTGCTCGGGGCTTACCAAAGTACGCACCACATTGCCTTCAAGGATCGGTCTTTGCAGCGGATGGCTCAGGTATTCCAAGTGGATGCAGTTGCACTCCGGTCGCAGTTTGACGAGGTCGAGCCCATCGCGATGTATGAGGCAACCACTTGCCGCACATGCAGCTTTACAGCTTGGCAAACTGCGCTGCAGAGAATACGTGCGCGGACTGCTGGTCGACGTCAAAAAGACCACCTCCAAGCCTTGTTCAAGGTAGTGTCTTTTTACGGAGCATGGAACGGATTGAGCACCTCGGGCGTCGAGCAATCATTCAGCATTCTGCAGGAGGGCATCAGCAAGCAGCGGCGACACATGTGCCTCTTCTCAACCTTGGATGTAACTCTTCTCAATTGTTTGCCTGAAGTTTAGGCAGCTGATTTGAACGCTAAACAGCTTTGCGCTGCCATTGACTTGGCAGTGCTGAGGAGTGAGGCTACACAAAGCGACGAGCAGCAGCTGCTGCTGCTGTCCAAGACCGACACGCCCCATGACCAGCTTTGCGCAAGAGCGGCCAAGGTGCGCTTCGTCTCGTTCCACACCACGCTTCTTGACAACATCAAAAACCCGGAACGATGTCAGAATATCATGCTCTGGGAACTCAGCTTTCAGCGTGTTGGTGGCGAGAACGAGAAATGCTTGGCACTGTTCAGTGCAGGCCAGCAAAAGCTCCGGACTGACCCGGCCACGACCCCCGATCGTCTTAGCCTGCTGACGTACCTGAACACCACGCGCAAGAACATGTTTCTAAACTTCAAAGCGCACGCTAGGCTAACAGATGCTGAACCATCCTTCATGACGTGTTCGCAGCAAACGTAGAAACCATTTACTCGATGCAGCTTCAGGCGCCATAAAACCCCTTGGTTCCTCAAGCAGCTCCAGCATGTAAGCCGTGAACCCTTGAGTGAAAATTGCGCCCTGGTTGATCAAGCGGTGCAGGCGTGCCAGCAAGGATTCCACCTCGATGGGGAACTCTGACAGGTCATAGCTCTCAGTGTCCACTAGCCTGAGCAAGCCGCTGCATTCGTCGCTAATGTCAGCGAGCATGCTGATCAGGATGAGGTGCCGCTCGCTCATGGCGTCCAGGTACTCAAACGCAGCTTTGGCATCGTCGCCGTCGCGCTGGGTCGCAACCCAGACCAGAGTCGAGATCAGAGCATCGATGTAGATCACTGTTCTTTGTAATGGCAGCGAGCATGATGCAAACCGGTGCTTTGCAGCTTGGAGATGCTTAATACGCCTGCCATTGCCGCCGTTCTTTTCGCATGCCACAGCAAACCGGCTGAATACGCCCTGCAGCGTCTGCGAGAAGTGGATCTTCTGGCAGATTGAGTTCGAACCCATGATGTACCTGTTCATGGTGTCTTTGATTTCGGCCACGGCGTCCCATGGCCTTTTCAGCACCCTGGTACCTTAGTAGTCAAGATTACACGCAAGGTTGCACGCAGAGCTAGATTCCCGGCTGTTGCTCAGCGCTTCCCTCGGCGCCTTCCCGGCCTTTTGTCGCAGCCTTCTCGAATCCCGCCCTCTTTGCTAGGGTTTTGTTTTTTTCGGTTTTTCGGTAGGGAGGACTTCGCTAGAACACAAGCTTGCGATCGGAAAAAGATTGAGACGTCAGTTTGACAGATCCATAGAAGAAGCCAAGGCACAAGCGTGAGCCCTGTCTCTTTGAATCGAAACCAGGTTTGGGAAGAAACTCTTGCTCACTCGCCCTGCGCCCTGCTCATTGCTGGCAGCATCCGCCACAAAGATCGTCACCGAGTTCCGGAGGTGTTCGCGCAGGGAAGAGTCCATCTCTTGAGCGCATGGGCCGCCCCATCCGGGCGTGGCAAAGCGTTCAATGACACGTTCCATTGCCACAACCACGTTGGAGATGGTCTCGCCGATAACTTCTTGGGCGCCCAGGATGCCCTTCTTGATCTCCAGGTTTGGGGTGCAGGCGGAGAAACGCATCAGCAACCGGTTCTGGCGACCATCCTGTGCTATTGCTATGGCGGAGGCACGCCGGATGAAGTCGCGGGTAATCTCCCGGTCGGACTCAGCCAAGCACCACTGCAAGCGAGACAACTTCTCTCGTCCACAGGGGTTCTCGCCGCCAATCCCTTGCCTCAGCGAGCATTTGTTCAGCCTGTGGTCCAGCGCCTGTTTGAACACATCCAGCCCAGGGCAATCCTTGTCTGCCTGCTGAGAGTTGGTGAAGCCAATGACCTTCAAAGCGCGCTGATGCTGCAAAGACGCGTGGTGCCTTTTGATGTTGCTCAGGAAAGGCGTTGCAACCGTGCCCCGTGCAAAAGCATTGTCCATGGCCGCCTTGTTGCGCACGACGCACCCAAGCCCTGCATCAGCGGCATCGCCAGCGAGCACCAGCCAGGTGCCGATCGTTATGCCATCTGCTTGGATCGGAGAAGAAGCCTCCCACTCCTCTTGATTCCGAAGGAACAAGCAGCGCCAACAAGATGCTGGATCTGGGCAGCTCTTCGCATGACAGAAATTGGCCTCACGGGTCACAGGAGTCAGCCGCTGAGCTGCTTTGCCAGGCTGTGGCGCAGCCGCCCATCTTGAACGAGAGCCCGCCGACTGCTCCGCATCACCCAGCGACCGCCGCTGCGGGGTTGCGACATGGCCAAACCCAGGAATCATTTTGGTACCACAACGCTTGCTGCTTCTCTCTCTTGATCAGTGCTTTTTCAAAAATCTTCATTTTTTGTGGGACAAACAACTTTTTTGCGCTTAAAACAGACCATTGTCATGTTGGTTGCCACCCTTTCAACTTCGCTCAGCAATGAACATGATTTAACTGCATTGAACTGCATTGAACTGCATTGAACTGCATTGAACTGCATTGAGTTGAACTGCATTGAGTTGGTTGAACTGCATTGGTTGGTCATGTTGCTTGAGCAAAATGCCGACACAGCAATGCCCATGATGAACCCAATTTTGGGGTCGAGCAAGCGTTGCAGGCGTTGCGCTGGTTACTTTAGACTCAGACGCAATGGCAGATGATGGAAAGCTTCGGCCTCGTAAAAACCGGCCGTCGCCATACGCCATCATGAACATACGCCGTCGCCATACGCCATACGCCATACGCCATACGCCATACGCCATACGCCATACGCCATACGCCATACGCCGTCGCCATACGCCATACGCCATACGCCATACGCCTCCGGAACTCCTTCCTCTGCTGAGAGGATGGCGAGGCCGAAGTGGAAGAAGCCCCAAATGCAGAAGCAACGCGCTTGTAATTGAGGAGTAGAAGTCGCCTAATTAATCCAGGCTGGTGTGTTTTGACACAAGCCTCCTTTTAGCCAAAGGCTGGCGCTAAGCTACCAGGTCACACTAACGGGGCGGGTGTGAGGAATTAAAACGAGTGGCATGATGAGACTCATTTTGCGCTGCGACAGTTGCTACCGCTGTGAGCAATAACTCAATCACCACCAACTGTCTCGAAAACAAGGGCGCCACTGATCAGCAGCGAAACCATCGCATGACAATCAACAAACCAAAGCCGCAAAATCGGAGCTGCTGGTCAGCAGCAATAAGTAACTATGACGAAAGTAATACGAAGCGAAGAGAAGTGCCCTTGTTTTCAAGAAACGTGTTGGCTGGCAAACCACACCCAGCAGAGACCCAGAAGTAGGCAATATGATTTGCAGACTGCTGAACAGCAGCCCCACCGTGGTACAATCAGGCGCGGCGGGCCTGCCGCGCCACTGCTGCGCGCTGCCGCCGGCGCTGCTCCGGGTGCACCTTGGCTTCTTTGTTGGGTTTTGGCTTCTTAGTTGGGTCGGACCAGCTGCTGCTCAGCAGCTTCATCAGACAATGCCTGCTGAACAGCAGGCGCAACTGATCACCTAAGTCGAAGACCAACTGCTGCTCAGCAGTTTGGTCAGACCTGCTGCGCTGGACCTGCTGACTGCTGTTCAGCAGTTCATGGACCAGCTGCTGCTCAGCAGCTTCATCAGACAATGCAAAGGACCTGCTGAACAGCAAGCCCAACTGCTGCTCAGCAGTTTCGTCAGACATGCTGTGCTGGACCTGCTGACTGCTGCTCAGCAGTTCATTGGGTTGGACCAGCTGCTGCTCAGCAGCTTCATCAGACCATGCAGAGGACCTGCTGAACAGCAGGCCCAACTGCTGCTCAGCAGTTTGGACCTGCTGACTGCTGCTCAGCAGTTCATTGGGTTGAACCAGCTGCTGCTCAGCAGGTTCATCAGACACTTCCTGCTGAACGCAGCATTGCTGCTGTTCAGCAGCTTCATCGGACAATTCCTCCTGCTGGACCAACTGCTGCTCAGCAGTTCCATCAGACCTGCTTCGCAGCAGGCCCAAACTGCTGCTCAGCAAATTGGGTTGGACCAGCTACTGCCCAGCAGCTTCATCAGTCAATTCAAAAAACCTGCTGGACAGCAGGACCAACAGCTATTCAGCATGTTTCCACTTATTTGTTCCACCGGCAGCAAGGCTCAAAGTTGGAGAGATATGGTTTCGCACGAACAGCTCTCAACAGCAACAGTAGCATGACCCGTGTCACATTGTGGACATTGATAGCACAACAACGCCGCATTTCAGGAGAAGACTTGCATTACACACTTTGCATTACATTAAACGCATGGCATTCACATTTCAGCTGCGCGTTACATTGAGATACGCAAAAACACAACATTACATTGCTCTGAGTTACATCACATCGCATTACATCGCATCACGTCACATACGAAACACCCGTCATTCATTCCTTCCTTCCTTCCTTCATTCATTCATTCATTCATTCAGTCATACACTCATTCATCCGTTCATTCATGTATCTGATTTTATGTTCCCTCATTGTATTTCATTTCATTCCATTTCATTTCATTTCATTTCATTTCATTTCAATCATTTCATTCATTCATTCATTCATCCATCCGTTCATTCATTCATTCACTCATTCACTCATACATTCCTTAATTCATTTGTTCATTCATCCATGCATTGACTCATGCATTAATTCATTCATTATTTCTTTCTTTCATTCATTCATTCATTCATTCATTCATTCATTGATTCATTCATTCATTCATTCATTCATTCATTCATTCATGCAGTGTTCTTTCAGTCATTCACTCAATTCTGCGTTCACAGTCGTTCATGCATTCATTCAGTCATTCGATCCATTCACTCACTCACTCACTAATTCATTCGTCCATTCATTCATTCATTCATTCATTCCTTCATTCATTCATTCATTCATTCATTCGTTTCATTTCATTTAATCTCACTCCATTCATACATTCATTCATTCACGCATTCAGTCATGTCATTCAATCATTTGATTCATTAATTCATTCATGCATCAATTCAATTCAATTCAAGTCCTTCATTGGTTCATTCACTCATTCATGCATTCATCCATCAATTCATACGCTCATGCGTTCCTTAATTCTTTCGTTCGTTCATGAACTCATTCATTCATTAATTCATTCATTCATTCACTCATAAATTCATCATTCATTTGTTCATTCATTCAGTCATTCATTCATTCACACATTCATTCATTCATTCATTCATCCATCCATCCATTCATTTCATTCATTTCATTCTTTCATTCAGTTCCATCACTCGTTCATTCATTCGTTCATTGAGTTCCACCAGTTGTTCATTCATTCATTCATCCATCCAGCCATCATTTCATTCATTCATTCATTCATTCACTCACTCATTCACTCACTCATTCATTCATTCATTCTCTCATTTCATTTCATGTCATGTCATGTCATTTCATTTCATTTCATTTCATTTCATTCATTCATTTCATTACATTTCATTTCATTTCATTTCATTCATTGCATTCATTTCATTCACTCATTCATTCATTTCATTCACTCATTCATTCATTCATTCATTCATTCATTCATGAATTCACTCATTCATGCATACACTTCATTTCATGTTGCGTCGTTTCATTTCATTTCATTCAATGACTCACTCATTATTTCATTCATGCATTGAGTCATTCAGTCATTCATTCATTCATTCATTCATGCATTCATTCATTCATTCATTCATTCATTCATTCATTCAGTCACAGTCAGTCAGTCAGTCGGTCATTCAGTCGTTATGTCATGTCATTTCCTTTCATGTCATGTCATGCAATTTCTGTCATTCATTCTTCATTCGTTTCATGTCATTTCATGCTATTTTTGTTTCAATTCACTTATTGTCACCCATTCATTATTTCATTGAAATTTATCTTTTGCTTCATTCATTGATTCATTCATTCATTCATTCATTCGTTCAATCAATCATTCATTCTTTCATTCATTCATTCATTCATTATTTCATTCATTCATTCGTTCGTGCGTTCAATATATTCACTCATTGCATTCAACCATTAACTTACTCGTCACGATTTTCCTGCTTCTCGTCTTTTGCCGCGGCGCGGGGGGGCGCAATGCCGCCGAAGCACCCCGGCGAGCGGCCGCCTTCGTATGATCATCGCCAATGGGGTCGGCTTGTCGGCACGCTGGACGCCATGTACGGCGTGCTGCAGTTCCTGACGAACACGGTGCAGGCACTGCAGCAGGAGCAGCAGCAGATGCAGCAGCAGCTGCAGCAGCACCTGCAGCAACGCGCACAAGCTGAGCAGCCGCAGCAACCACCTCAGCAGGACCAGGGACAGCCAGCGCAGCCCACATTTCCACCCCAACCGCCGCCGTCGCCAACATGGCACCAGCAAACAACTGCAGCGGTGCCACAGCACCAGCCATGCCCCCAGCCACCGCAGCCACTGCTGCACCAGCCTCAGCTGCACCAGCAGCATCAGCCGCAGCTTCAGCCTCCGCTGCCAAAGCTACACCAACAGGATCAGCCACCGCTGCCGCACCATCAGCACGCCGAGGAGCAACAGCAACAGCAAGCCATGATCATGATGCAGCGGCAGCAGCAAGAGGCAGCAGCAGCGGCAGCCTCATTGCAGCAGCAACAAGACGCGGCGTTGCATCAACAACAACAAGCACATGCTGCAGCAGCAGCAGCAGCAGCGCTGCAGCAGCAGCAAGACGCGGCGTTGCATCAACAACAACAAGCACATGCTGCAGCAGCAGCAGCGCTGCAGCAGCAGCAAGACGCGGCGTTGTATCAGCAACAACAAGCACATGCAGTAGCAGCAGCAGCAGCAGCGTTGCAGCAGCAGCAAGACGCGGCGTTGCATCAGCAACAACAAGCACATGCAGCAGCAGCAGCAGCAGCAGCAGTTGCAGCAGCAGCAAGACGCCGCTGCAGCTGCAGCGTTGCAGCAGCAACAACTCTACCGCCAGCAGCTGCTGCTGCAACAGCAAAAGGACGAGGCAGAGGCAGCGTTGCAGAAGCAGCAGCAACAGCAGCAGCTGCAACAACAGCAGCAAGCGCAGGAGGAACAGGCTGCGCAAGAGGAGCAGTACCGGCAAGCCGCTCTTTGGGCGCAGGAGCAAACGGAAGCTTGGCAGCGCGAGCAGAAGGAGGCATCAGCAAAGGCTGCAGCAACAGCACCGCAAAGCAGCAAAGCAGCAGCAACAGCACCGCAAAGCAGCAAAGCAGCAGCACCAGCTTTGGCAAAGGCGGCCGGGGCCGCAGCTGCACCAGCAAAAGCTGCAAGGAAGCTACCGCTGGGGCCCTTGCAG